TTTCAACTTTTGCTTAGCTCTTTTTGTAGTAAAAAAAAAAAAAAGTAAATGGAGTCTTACCTACAACTTGGAGTTTCATAAGTTCCTACAACCTTCTCACTTAACCCTTTGATCTTGAATAGAAGTCTTCAAGTTCCTGCTTATAATTTAACCAGAAGGAGGCAGTGAAGTGCATCCTTGGACCTGACAACTCCTTCTCTTGGTACTCCCTTTCCATTCATCATGTACCCCCTGCCTTCTGGTAGATTCTAAGGGAGCAAATAACTCTTCCGTGTACTGCTTTTTTCCAAGACTCAATATTGCCTTTTTAAATCAAGAGTGTTTGGGTCAACTTTTACACTGCTGTGACCAAAAGACCTGACGAGAACAATTAAAGGAGGAGATGTTTGTTTTGATGCTCACAGCATCCGAGTTCTCAGTCCATAGACCGCCAGTTTCATCTGCTCTGGGCCCAAGGTGAGGCAGAACATAATGGCGGATGACCACCAACGAGGAGAAAGAGCTCTCCTCACCACAGACAAAATATAAACACCAAAGGGCACATCCCCAGGGACCCACCTCCTCCAGCCACACCCTACCTGCCTGCAGTCACCACCAGGTTAATCCCTATCAGGATATCACACTGATGAGGTTAAGGCTCTCCTAACCCAATCATTTCACCTCTAAGTTTTCTTGCATTGTCTCACACATGAGCTTCTTGGGGTACATTTCATATAAAAACCATAACAAGAAGGGAAATTCCTATGACTAACTAAAGATCTCCAACTTCTTTCTTAAGGTTGTCTACCACTGTAACACACGGACACTTGAATTATATGTTAAGCACGCCCTTTGATGGAGCTATGCATTTGCAGCCTAAGCATCAATACTCAGACAAAACTCTATTAAAATTTAAAATGTCTCTTATAAAAATTATAATGTTTGTTTTAAAATATCCTTTCCTCTAAAAGAAACATAATGTCTTTGAAGATTTCTATGTGTTGTATTTTACTATGTGATCTCAAACTGAGTATCCCTGGGGCTGTGTTCTCTGAATCTTCCACCTTTCATAAAATCTGCTTCTTCCACTTTGAAATCCTGTTACTATTCTGTGGAGCTGAGTTTTGAATCATCTGTTTCTTAGATACCATCATCCTCCACCTCCCAGAATTCTGCACATCGTTTGTTCAACCGGGATCTTGTTTATTCGGTATTCCAGGTGGCAGGGAGAGAAGGAGTTTGAGTTTGGGAAATGAACAATCAAAGAAAATGAGCAAAAAATGAATAGATGGGACTGAGTCAGTTTCCCATGCAACTGGAAACTGACTGAGGCAAGGTACCTGTGGTTGGAGAAGTGAAGATCAAGAACCAATACCCTTTAGGAGGCTTTGGGTGCAGCCTGAGGTGGTGCAGCATACAGAGAAGCAGGACAGGCTGGGATGCCTCCCCACCACCCCTCCAGGGAATGCAGCAATGCTCTGCCTCCCTGTGAACCGAAGCTCTGAGAACACAGAGCCCATGCATGTGATACCATTATGGACAGTGGGAATAGTGAAAATTCACCAAGTGGCTTCTCAGGTCTGCAACATGACTAGGGAGCTGAGACAGGTAGGATAGAAGAAATAATAGGGTGTGTTTCCAGTGCTGAGAGCAACTGACAGGCAGGTTATCACGGGTGGCTGTCATCTAGAGATTCATGTGAAGCATCCCTGGGAACCACAACCAGGATCTGAAGGATTCATTCAGCGGGGTCAGCTTTAGTAACTGGGCCACCAAACTACCTTAACTCAGTCATTAAAAATAAATAGAATCTAAATATCAAATCCTAATTGATGGCATGGACTCTGAGGTGCATAAGGATGAAGGACAATGCCAATGTCTGCAACTCACCTTGAAATTATTCAAACCACAAGGCTGGTTGATGGAAGAATTGATGGATAGATGAATTAATGGGTGGACTATCCATACAGGATGAAGTAAATACAGCCAAATATTAGCGATGACAGAATCCAAGTACTGAGTGTTAGGAGCTTACTATAGATTATCTTTAACTTTTCTATACAGTGGAAATCTTCCATAGAAAATTTTGCAAAGTGAATAGAATCTTGTTCTACAATCACAGACCAGTGAGGTGTGCCCTATCTGGATGACCCGAGATTTAATTTCAGATTCTTTTGCCACTTGTCCTGGGAGTCATAGCTCTTATTCCACTCTCTTCTCAGCCCAACTTTTCCTTCCCTTCCTTCCTCTCCCTGGTGCTGAAAGTCCTGGTTCTCTTTATGCTGTGTACCCTGAGGGCCTCACTCGAACATTTTACCTGCTCTAACTGGCCCTACGGAGTGGGTGACCCCGAGACTTCTCCAAGGTTAGGACAGCTGGATCCTGCTGAGGGTATTCCTGAGTGCCTCCTTCACTTCCTTGTTCCTCAGGCTGTAGATGAGGGGGTTCAACATGGGAATCACGGTCGTGTAGAACACAGACACCACCCTGTCTTTTTCCGAGGACTGGCCAGAGTTATCCCTCAGGTACATGAAGATGAGGGTGCCAAAGAAGAGGGACACTGCCGTGAGGTGGGAGGCACAGGTAGAGAAGGTCTTGGCCCGGCCTCCAGCGGAAGGGATCCTCACGATGGCCACGATGATGAACAGGTAGGACACCAAGATGACCACCATGCAAGCGGGGAGGACAAAAATGGCGAACACGATAATGACCACTTCCTGGGTGTAGCTGTCCCCACAGGCCAGCTTCAACAGAGGAGGGAGGTCACAGAAAATGAAGTCGATCTCACCGTCCCCGCAGAAGGAGAGAGTGAAGGCTGAGACGGTCCGCACCAAGGCGCTGAAGAGACCGGCCACGTAAGCCCCGGACACAAAACCCAGCTGGGCCTTCTGCGTCATGATGGTGACATAGAGCAGCGGTTGGCACACGGCCACATAGCGGTCGTAGGCCATGATGGCCAGGAGGTAGCAGTCAATGGAACCAAAGAAGGTGAAGAGGAAGAACTGAGCGGCACAGCGTGTGTGGGATAAGGCTGCCCCGTGCTCCAACAGCACGGCCATTGTCTGGGGAACGGTGACGGACGAGTAACAGATGTCCATGAAAGAGAGGTGACGCAGAAGGAAGTACATCGGGGTGTGGAGTCGGCGGTCCATGCGGATGAGAATGATCATCCCCAAGTTCCCCGACAGAGTGATGAGATAGATACACAAGAACAAGAGGAAAAGCGGGAATGCCCGTTCAGGATACTCGGTGAATGCGATCAGGAGGAATTCGGTCACTAAGGTGACATTGGTCTCTGCCATGAGCCAGTGGTGCCTGAGGGGATGAGCACGAAAAGCAAGTTAGGAAGCTGCAAATAGGATTTCCCTGCATGTCTACTTATTTACTAAACATGCACCGTGGACAGATCATGGCAGGTGCTATGAGGGGTTTCAGAAATGACCTATCTGAACTCCAGCCTTCAAGCAAGTTCCATGGCCTAGAGTCATCTGATCATATCAAGAAAGAAAGATATAGGTATACATTTCCAGAATAGGGGTGCATATTCTTCCACTTCCACTGCCAAAGAGCTGTGTGAGTTCTGAGAGTCAGATAATCACTCTGAGCCAAAATTTGCCTATGGCTCCAGCAGGAGCAGACTGATCATCTCTCACCTACTCTGAGGCCACCCTTTTCCTCCGTGACTGCAGGTCCTCCTTTATTTCCAATCCTCTTCATTTCTTGTCTGCATTAACAGCAGCCATGGAACCGACTGTTCTCCCTGCCTTCAGATTCACTTCTTGTGCACTCTTGAAACATCCGTTAAAAATCTCAGTATTTTTAAGACTTTGATCATATCACGTTCCCCTGTTAAAAACCCTGCCATGGTGTCCCGTCGTGGATAGGGTGTTGCTCAGACTCCCTAGTACGGGGATACTCCCCTGGAATCTCCTCCATTTACTTCCTTATGCCCCTTCTTACTTCTGAGACCTTGCACCCATGGTCACACCTCACCCTCCCACAATCTCTCAGACACACTGAGTTAGCAGGATTTCTCTGACCCACCATGTTCTCTCACATCTCTGTGCTTTTGGCAGAACAGCTGCCTGGAATACCTTATCCTTCTCACCCATGGGTTCTTGCCAACTCTTGGGCTGCCTTCAAACCTCAGCTCAGGAGTACTCTTAAAGTCTCTGGGGTCACCTCCTCCAGTCAGTGCAGGGCCCTTGGAGGTCAGCACATGGCAAGGGCTTGACATGTTTCCATAGAAAAACCATCAAACAAGATATGAAGCCCCTTGCAAATGGAAAGACACCATGCACATGTTCAAGTTTTATTTTTTCTTTTATTTTATTGACTTTTTTTCTGTTGGCAAACAGAAAATGCCTAAGAATAAAACTAACTAAAATTGATGAACAATCATGAAGGTCATAAGCCATTCTTGAGTTTACATGTCTATCTTCAAACTAACAATATGTTTACTTAATATCTGTTATCATATTCAACCTTCTTGGTTTTTACCAAAAAAAAATTATTTTTTTTTTAACTATATGGTCTTGCCTGTAATCCCAGCCACCGGGGAGGCTAAGAAGGGAGACTTTTTTCAGTGCATGAGTTCAAGTCCAGCCTCCTTGGCAACAGAGTAAGACTCTATCTCAAAAACAATATTTTTTTTCTTTTTATTGATTTTTTTAAAAATAAATGACAGAGGAATGCATTACAATTCTTATTACACATATAGAGCACAATTTTTCATATCTCTGGTTGTATATAAAGTATGTTGACACCAATTCATGTCTTTATACATGTACTTTGGATAATAATGTTCATCACACTCCGCCATCCTTGCTAACCCCATGCCCCCTCCCTTCCCCTCCCACCCCTCTGCCCTATCTAGAGTTCGTCTATTCCTCTCATGCTCCCCCTCCCTACCCCACTATGAGTCAGCCTCCTTATATCAGAGAAAACATTCAGCATTTGTCAAAAACAATATCTAAAACAAGAAAGAAAACTCTAATTTTCTTTTTTCCTATTGCTCTTAATAACAGAAAACAATATACACACCACTCTATGTGATTTGCATACTAATTCACTTAATCCCCATAATCACTTTATGAAAAAGGAGATGTTCTTATCCTTATTCTACAGATGAGGAAACTGAGACAAAAGAGTTTAGGTAAGATGGAGAAGACTGCACAGCTAGTAAATGAAGGAACTCTCATTAGGACCAAAGCTGCACCCAGAAGTGCTGTTTACCATGCAATGAGATTTCCCATGCTTCCCAGGGCCCTTCCAACAGCCCCTACTCAGGAAGGGCCCACCATTAAATCAACAAGCACAGATGCCTGCACTGCAGCCTGTGAATATCTGAAGGCTGGTGGAGGCTTTTGGACTAAGGGATAGAATGTCCTTTGGCAGACTTACAGTGTAACAGGATAGAGCAGGCATTGATCATCTTTAAAGCATAAGACTTTGGCAGTAGAGCAGTGTTGGACTGACCTATTGGGGAACGTGGTAAATAAAGGAAATTGGATCTGGTGACCTGAATTGAACAAAGAACCAGAAGAACCAGGTCAGTTCTCTCACCTGAATTCCACTTTGGCTTTAACTGGCTGGTCCTCTTCTTTGTCCACTATTTTTCCTTAGTCTCTAAAAGGTCATTTCTCTTTCGCTCTTTGGAGAAGGGTCCCACGGGCATGGAGGGACCTGTGTGCACGGAACAGCAGGAGGTCGGGGTGGATCCGTTTGCACTTCCATGTCTGCTCAGTTATGATCCGAGCCAGGCTCTTGGATCCTCAGTGTCCTTCTCTCCTCCCACACCCCCTCACACACATGCCTGCAATGTATGAATCAACGTGGGGACAATAATGCCTTAGCTGCCCGACGGTTTCTGGACTGTATGGTTCTCAAGAACCTTCTAGGCAGTACTGTTCTGTCAAGGACTCTCTTCTCTTCCTCTTTGTTTCCAGGACCTGCTAGGTCTGGTTAGGATACACTCTTCACCCTTGCTTTTGTTCTATTCCAGGCAGAGGTAGACACCCAGCTCCAACACATATCCCCTTAGGAAGACACACTAATATTTGCTAGAAAAGCCCTGAGGTCCCCAGGCAGTAAAGTGATCTCTAAGGAAAGACAATTATTGCTCCCGTGGACTCCTCACAAAGCACCTGGTAGCTCTCACTTAGGAGGAAAGAAGGCTTCCCTCCCAGTCCCAACTCCCAAAGCCCTAACAAAAACCCAGAGTAGAGTCTAAAATTAACAATCCCAATTCTGCATAGTCCCAGGAGGAACTAAATGTCTCTGGCTTTAACTTCTCCAATCACAGCAAGGTCACAAAGGATGCCAATTGTCATCCTCACCAGTGTGGCTGTATTCTGACAGAGGGAGGCTTTGATCCACAGATTTAGGAGGGTCAACCGAGCACCCTGCAGAGAGACCTCAACAGGATGCATTCATTGTGTCATTTCTTTGTCCTTTCTGGGAGTCAGAGGTTTCATTAAGCTCCCCCACCCCACCCCAGTGCCTTTTTTTTTTTCCTTTAAACACAAATGAAACCAGAAGGAAAACAAAAGCCTGGGATGTTATCCAGAGGGGGATTGGGCAAGTTCTTCTTATTGATATGGCCTTTGCCAGTTCTCCACCTCTTTGACACCATAAGTTTTTTTTTTAACCTCCAATCCATAAGCATTTTGCTAAATTGAATTTCAACAGTTCTCAATTCATAAAAGAAAACAAGATGAGAAAGAACAGAATAAATCTCCTCTTTGACAATTATGAAACCAAGAGAAAATGGGGCCGCCTGGTCCATCGATTCACCACTGTGCTAAGAATTCTAAATGAAGAATAATTAGAATAAGACATACTTCATGTTTGTGTACATGTCAAAATACACTGTCATGTGTAACTAAAAGAACAAACAAAACTTTTAAAAAATGAAACACACCTACAAAACAGACACACAATATCTGCCTGTTGGAAATAGGCAAACAAATAGGTGAGATAATCATCTCTCGTTCAAGATGACAAGTACTAAACTGTTAAGCAAAATGTGAATCATGCACCATGGGGATTGAGTGTAGGATGTAGTAACTTACAGTGGGGGAGATCAGGGAAGGCTACCCAGAGATGGGCTTTGACAGTCTGCTGGGATGGAGGAATGTTGACAAGCTCTGTAGGAAGAGGGATCCACATGACCCAACATCCACGGTTAGATGATCCCAGGGACGACTCCTGATGCAATGAGTGGCACTTTGATGACAGCTCAGAATGGTACAGATTCCAAAATGCTGGGGACATATCAGAAATCAGACATTTTCAGACTTTCAAATATTTGCATGTACATAGTGAAATATATAGAAGATAGGACACATATCTAAGTCTGAAATTCATTTATGTTTCAGGTCTATCTTATGCACACAGCCTAAAGTTGATTTTATACAGTATTTTTAATACACCTATGTTTTGACTGTGACCTGTCACATGACTCAGTGTGAAATTTTCCACTTGTGTCCTCAGGTAGGTACTCAAAAACTTGAATTTCAAATTTTTATATTAGCAATACTCAACCTATATGAGGCAAGTCAAGTCCAGGACTCAGGATAAAGTATATAGGTGTTGGTTCAAGTGCAAAAAATAAGGTGGCAACAAAAACCTCAGTATAAAAGGTAAGATATTTTAGCATGATATTTTAAAAAATCGAAATCAATGCAATATAGTCTAAGATAAACAAATATAAAAATTGTAAATAAAGGCCACACAGCATTACTGATTTTTCCCTTGGCCTCAATCCCATCATGGTTCGACAGTTGCACTGGTGCTGGGAAATGTGTTGAAATGGGACAGCAAGACCAGAGAGCTTCCAAGGAACAGACTTTTCCTTGGAGAAAGAGCCTTTCCATCACCTAGGGATTTTCATTTCTTTTCTCTCTGTTCTCTGTGTGAAAAAAAGAATGCAAGAAAGTCAACATAATAAGATCAATACTTGAAGAATGACGTTAACCATTTCAAATCATTCCCTTTACCTATCTTCACAAGAGCCCTATGCGATAGAGAGAGAATGAGACTCCTCATTGTACTGAAGAGTAAACAGAGGACTAGGACTAGAAAGGGGTTCAGGTCATATAGCACATTTTGTCTGTCCTGCACACCCTGGTTGCTAGAGGACTCTGCCCTGGTCACAGCCCCTTCTGCCCAAGGGGATTTTTTTTTTTTTAATGATCATGAACACTCTCATGCATATGCATGTCAGAGCTCTCGAAATGAAAAAGTCTTCCCAGTTATCCTGTGTTAACAAATAACAGTAACACAATGTGACTTGCAAAATAAACTTATTTCTAATTCATGAAAAACACAGTGTGGTTTAGGCGGTGCTGAGTCTCATAGCTATGCCCTTTGGAGCCGGTGGACTTGGGGAGAGCTAGTGCAGGACACAGCAAAGGGAAGACTGTAGAGGAGAACCAAGGACAGCCCGGAAGCGATCTTCTTCACCCCAACATCCCAGTGACCAGAAGCAAGTCACATGCGCTCAACATAACTGCAAGAGATGCCAGGAAATGCACAAGAGCACACAGATATCTACGCAAACTAATGTTCAGGCTAACATCTCTGCTACCTTTCCTGCCCTTTGTGCAGTATAAAGTCTAGAACCCTCCTCAAAATTTTGAGAGCATGCAAGGGTTCACTATTACATTTGCATGGCTCCTCCTCATCCTGCTTCCACTAATACGTTATTTATATTTGTGCACATTTCCCATGATTGTGTTCACCCTTCTCTGCACCACAGCACTCGAAGTGTGAAACATGACCTGTTTTCTTTTTGTTTGGTTTGGGGTTTTGTTGTTTTATTTTACAGTACTGGAGATGCAACCCGGAGTGCTTCACCACTCAGCCACATCCCAACCGTTTTTTATTCTATTTTATTTTATTTTTGAGACAACTCATTAAGTTGCCCAGGCTGTCCTTGAGCTCATGATTCTCTTGCCTCAAACTCCTAAGTCTGGGATTATAGGTGTGTACCACCGCACCCAACTCATCTGTTTTCTTCATTTTCTAAAATTAATACAGAGTATGGGCAGCAGACTTTTAGTAAAGATATTGTAGAAAATTTAGGAGGTTTACAGTACTGCACAAATGGGAGGGGAATTTAGAACTGAATAATGAATGTTGTGCTGCAAGTTTCCTGGCCATTTCCATCCGAAGGAACTCATTACCAGCTGCTCCTCACCTTCACCTTCAGCCTGCCTACTACCATCCAACCCCATCTCTTTCTCTACTAAGGTAATCTTTTATTTATATCTATATTCTCCCGGTGGCAAAGTCTTCCAAACTTCTTTCTATCCAGTCGACTAGAAAGAGATTTAAAATTCTTTTCATATTGTTATGCATGATAATGTAAATCTTTAATATCTAAATTTCTTCCATTTAGATCATGCATTGAAGGTTCTTAAATTTCATTATCAAGATGCTATAAATCACCATGTGCCTCTATCTTTCAAGAGTGTTTTCTTCAACCAAAAAAAAAAAAAATTCTCTTTTTAACAGAGAAAAATTAGGTCAAATGTCAGCTAAGATTTTTTTTAACATACCAATAAAGGATTCAATGTTCAAATAAGTCTGGAAAAAAATTAAATGAAGTTAAAAAACTATCTTTCCAGAGACTTCATTATTTCATATGCTTTATAAATCTCAAAAATAAAGAGTATATTATGAAGCAATTCTCGAAAGTATTTAACCACAGAGTGCTTTGTTGTCTACTGTGGTGTAATAAACACCCACAAATTCAGTGGTGCACAATAATGAGTGTCTTTTTCCCCTCACGTTCGTGGTTTCACAGTCAGCAAAATTCAGCTTGCTTAAGCTGCATTTGGCTACCTTGTCAAGCTGTCAGACTGCAGTATGTTCCTGATCTGCTTGCATGTCGTCTTTGGATCAGCAAGCCTTTCAAGGAATGTTCTTTTTCTAACAATAACAGAAATACAAGCAGACAAAGCCCCGTTATCAAAACACATCTCCTGTATCGACTCTACTGATGTCCCATCCATCAAAGCAAGTCGTGTGGTCAAGCTCAGCATCCTCAAGGATGGGAAGGAGGGGAATTTATTCTATTCCCAATTGGAAAGGAGTGAAATGAATATTTTCTGAACACTAGTCCAGCCATCACTGTTGTTCATAAATGTTCATGTCCTACTAACCTCCGTGAGCCACATGCAACATACGCTCACCATCACCCAATACCCCCCACCACAAGTTTCAACAAACTATATCATTGAGATGAAACTCTGGCATCTTACAATCCTCACCAGGTCCAGAGGTAACTCCCCCTGAGTCTAAAGAATTATAATCTAAGATGGGCACAGTGGTGCATGCCTATAATACCAGCAGCTCACAATACTGAGATAGGAGGATATCGAATTCAAAACCAGCTTCCCAGCAAAAGCAAGGCACTAAGCAACGCATTGAGACCCTATATCCAAATAAAATACAAAATAAGGCTGAGGATGTGGCTCAGTGGTCGAGTGCCCCTGAGTTCAATCCCTGATACCAAAAAAAAAAAAGGAAAGAAATATAAACTTAAAAGACAAGTTTAATGTCATCCCACAAACTTCAAAAATGCATTGATGAGTCAGCAATGAGCACTTCCATTAGAAAAGGAAAAGAGTGACAGACACCTGCAGTCAGTGGTCTATAGCAATTCTGAAATCCTGGTAAAGTGTTGCTATGTCTCCTTATCCTGGAGCAGAAAACATGTCTGTTAGTGCATGAATCATCTCCCCCGGGAAGAGGAGAGTGGCAAGTGGCAGAGAAAAAAACACCATGACCATATTTTTTTTTTCATAACCAGAAACATGCAAACAGTTTCTGTTTTTCACTGTCTCTTTTTTGCGGTACTGGAGATTGAATCCAGGGGCGCTGTACCCCTGAGCTACATCCCACCCATTTTTATTTTTAGTGTTAGTTTGAAACTGGGTGTCTCATGAAGTTGCCCAGGCTGGCCTGGAACTTTGGATCCTCCTGCCTCAGCCTCCTGAGTCACTAGGATTATAGGCGTGCACCACCCCACCCAGCTCACGTGTCTCTTTCAATTAGCATGCTGTAGCCACTTAGAGTTTACCAGAAAGAAGGGGTAAGAGTAAGGGTTCTGGTCTAAGATGGCTTGGGTTTAAATCCTATCTCTATCATTTTCCATCTGTGCAATCTTAGGAAGTACACAAAATCTCTGTACTTCAACTTCCTCATCTATAAGTTGGGGGATAATAGTAACAATCTCAAAACATCATGGAGAAAATCAAATAAAGATAGAAAGTAAAGCCACTGTTGAGTTAGATGCCCTGGTCTTCATCGCATCAGAGGGTATTTCCCAGACAATTTCCCAAATTCAACCTTTCTTCCGACTTCCGGGTCAGAATCTATGTGCATTCAATAAACACTATAGAGCTCACACCAACTGGTTACTTTAAGACAGCAGAAAAACCTATCTGGACTCTAATGAATATAGAGCCCACTAATAACTGATGTGATAACCACAGAAATAGCCTCTCTGAGTGCCCATTATATGACAGGCACCATGCCAAGCATTTCACATAAAACTCCCCTCTTAAGAATAAAATTATGAATTGTTCAAACTAAATATAGCATTTCTAATTACGTAAGAAAATATCCTCAAAGATTATTTAAAAAAAGAAAAACTTTTCTTTAGATGAGAGCTCTTCTCACTCCATCATGCAATGTCTCCCGAGGTCCTTCTATCCCATTTTGCTCTTCTCTAGTCCAATGTTAATTGACTATTGATGTCAGCCTTCCCTGTCATTACCTTTACATAATTTGATTTCAAATATATGTCAATCTTTCTCTCCATTAAAATAGGAAAATTTTTGTTGTTATTATGCCTCTGTCTTTCACTGTCTTCCCTGGTGCTAAGCTTCCTGGGAAACTCCCTTGTTGAAAGATTCCCTACCTCGGGAGGCCTGGTTCCATGCCTAGTATGCAGTGAACACTTGCAAATAATTAGGAGAGCCCAGATGGTTGGTACAACAGAGGAGGTGCTGATGGACACTTTGTACAGCTCTGAAGATAATTAGAAGAACGTGGCTTTATTAAAAGCTTTCCTCGGGGCCTCCTTTACTTCCTGGTTCCTCAGTTCATAAAACTGGAAAGTTCAACCTGGGGCTCACTACTGTGGAGAACATGGCCACAGCCTTTTCCCCTATCAGGGAGGGACTTGCCTAAATCATTATCTACACAGATGAAAGCCAGAGTCCCAGTGACCAGCCCAGCTGCAGTTATACAT